ACGCGCGAACAGATGCCTCCCTTCACAAATCAGCGTGAGAAAGCCACTATCTTACATGGGCACCGGTGACGATAGAAGAAGTGTCTTTTGAAGAGTTTAACAGGATATGGGAGGTGTTTTTAAGGTAACACCGGGCGTGAAATCTAGCAAGCTGAAATCTATTTAAAGATATCTAGGTATTTTAAGTATTTCATCAGTTGTTCCTTTATTTAATTACACCAGATACGCTTTATTTTTATCCCACTATGTATGCAATTTCTTTTAATCGTCCCGTTTAATGCACTGTATCTAATGTATTTTTTTTTTTATCTTTCTGTTTTTCAAGGTGAAAATTGTTTTGCTAAAATATAATCACTTTATGTTTGTTTCCTTCCTTTTTCTCGGAACCTTTAGTACCAATTGTGTTGGTGATCAATATAGGCATTTGCTTTTTAACTACAGCTTAGGGCCACGCTGTCTGCAGGGCTTCATTTTTTTTATTACACATGCAATTCTCTTTGAGTCTCCTCTTGTTGTCTTCCTCTAGCCCTCCTTTCATAGATCTTTTCAGTGGTCACACAATGTTCTATTTGCCTTCTTCTCATATATATATATATATATATATATATATATATATATATATATATATATATATATATATATATATATATATATATATATATATATATATATATATAGTATTTTTAACAAGAACAACTATGATGGTGAGAGCGTATATATATATATATATATATATATATATATATATATATATATATATATATATATATACAGGTATACACTTATAAACACACACACACTCACCATTATAGTTGTTTTTGTTAAAAATACTATAGGCTCATATTCGAGCATATTTTCCCGTCATTTGAATTTTACTTGCAAAGGAATTCAACAGGTTTCCTAATTATACACAATACAGTCCTTAGAAGAGGCCCTAAAGTTGGGCAATGGATCAGTAAAACTGCAAACATTGGGGGGGGGGCGGGGAGGGGGGACGTAGAATAATCCAGGTGCGTCCCTTAGACACGCACACAGTGAGAGAGAGAGAGAGAGAGAGAGAGAGAGAGAGAGAGAGAGAGAGAGAGAGAGGGTGTGGCGGTTAAGTGAAGTACTTTGGGGCAGAGTGTACATATCGCTGCTGAGAATGAGGATTGTGGACTCAAAATTGGAGTAACGGATCCTTTATTCCACAGGACATTTACCAGGTACTTATTTAAGACTGGGTTGGTCTAGGACCCTAGACCATTTTTGATAAAAGTCCAGCAACGCATGGATTTGAACCCACAACCTTCAGATCCGTTGACGAGCTCTGACCGCAACACCACTGTGGCTCCCAGTGATCTGTTACCAAAATCTGACTATCCACTGAATAGCTGCTAATGAATACATTATACTAAATTGAATCATTTCGACTGCGAGAGACTGATGCCGCGGGGATTGAACAAGATATCTGGGCAACACTCAGTACTCAGAGGAAAGGTAAGGTGGATGTACAATAGTACTGCTTCTCCTAACATCCGAATTGCAACTTTGCACTTACTGCTGAAGATGGGGACGGGGTGATTATGACATTGTCATATCAGTTCTTAACGCAGCTCTATCAATTTAATCAATACATTTTTGACATCCCGTTTAATCTGCGATTGAGTGCTTTTCCGTGTCTCCATTGACGTCATCTTCTTATTTATATGTTTGTTTGTAAGGTTAGAAGCTAGGAATTCCCGCTAGTCCTACATGACCTTATTTAGATCTGTCTTCCCTGCAACGATATGCCAACGGCCTTCTCCAAATCGCCGTCAGTATCAATAAAATGAAATTCGTGTTAGTGCTCTCTACCGAAGATGGGAAATTGGATAAAGAAATTAACATTAGATGCAGTAAAGCAAACCAAGTATAGGGACAGCTAGCTCCCCTCTTACAGCATAAGACAATCCCAATCAGCACAAAGAGACATCTTATTCAAAGCATATTTATTCCAACTCTGTGCTACCAGTGCCAGACATGGTCACTCACAACAAACCATAAAAGAAAATTAGTAACCATGGAAATGAGATGTCTGAGAAGGGCTGTGGGAGTGACCATAAGAAATAAGATCAGGAATGAGATCATAAGAGAAAAAGTCGGCACAGAACCAATTCTAAATTACATACGAAGACAGCAAGTGAAATAGTTTGCCCACTTAGAGAGAATGCCTTGTGACACCATACCATACAAAACATACATGAAAAGAGAAGAAGGACGTAGAGCACGAGGTAGACCAAGAACAATATGGAAGGATAACATCAGAGAAACTCTACAATAGCACGATGTGCCTACGGTCATGGCGGCCAGAAGAGCTAGAAACAGAACCTTATATCTCCCTCGACACCCACAGAGGTAAAAGAGGCAGTGAAGAAGAAGAAGAAGAAGCTCTGGAGTCATGTCCCAGGGTAAAGACCCAAGGTGGCTTGGGCTCTTCCACCAGTCTGACTTGAATTGGGAAACATAAGCAACATATTTTATGTGAGAGAAGAAATCGAACTTTTTAAATTTACGAATGGATTATACCTGTCTCAAAATAACGGAGAATAGAATTTTAAAACGACCAAGCTGTAAACAAATTAGTTCAGATGGGAGTCTAATTGGTGAAGTTGTTGAACTGTTTACCTTTTCTTCTGAACATTTTTTTCTAAGTATCCAGAAACCATGAGCTGTAAACCCTTTGGCTCGGTACTGTGGATATCGCAACCCTTGATTCCATGATAGATGTAAATCTGGGAGAAATTAGGCTTTTCTGCCAACCACCAAGCGCGAACCCGGAACACAAATATTACGTCACATGGTCGCCGCGTAGCGAATTTTAACCAACTGCACTAACGAGCCGGGCTGTTCTGAACGTAGTTGGTTTGCATTACGGACTTCATCCTTCACTTGGCCTGTGCATTTGTTTTCAAGATCCTTAGTGTCGTCGCTGAAGCTCTGGGGGTCGTGCTGTTTGCGACACTCTCAATGGGGGAATCAGATATCGAAGCATAAAAATATAATGCAATACATCCAGTCAACACTTAAAAATTACGAACTTTTGCTCCCCTTATGGGTTCCGTTGCCCCATTTTTTTGAAGAACAGACTCATTGCCACCCAACAAGCGTGTCGTAAAAGGCAACTAGGATTTTTTTTAGAGAAGAGGAACCGATAGTCTGCACACAGATCATCCAGATCTGTAAAACTGAGGTACACGCAAAAGTTTTGTAACAAGCCTAAAGTCCAGAAGTGGACATAAACCAGACCACAGAAGTTTACAGCCGATCAACACATCTACGATGTGATGTTGTAATGATGATGCTGTTGATGATGATGATGATGATGACGCTTAGGTCGCCTACTAAGTGATGACTTCAAAAAAGTCCACTTCAACCACCATTTAAGTAAATTATCCAGTAGAAATCGTCTCTGCACCAAGTAGTCAATCAGTACGCAACACACCAACACCTAGACTGAACCACAGCCTTCTCTATTTATTATTATATACAGAAGGACATGACTGAACACACCCCGGCCTTTTACGCATTGACAGACTAATCGCATGATTTACGTCCCTTCAAAACGCGTCCAAAATGTGGAAGCCAAATCTACTTCCTGTCATAAATTCTGAGCGGTATCGAAATGAGGTCCCTGGGTGAATATCAGTTTTCCTGGCGAAATAGAATACTGACTCACCGACTGACGGTTGAGTATTTCAATAGGTTCAATGTATGTCGAGTGTTATGTACATTAAATCTGCTGCCTTGCGTTGGTTCTATTTGCTTTGCGCTCCAGTCAAATTAGTGTACATATATAAAAAAAAAATACAAGCAATAATTTATAAACAGACCGATGGAGGGGGAACACAGATACATACACACACACACACACACACACACACACACACACAGAGAGAGAGAGAGAGAGAGAGAGAGAGAGAGAGAGGCGTGAGTGAGATGGACAGTGAAGGATAATGACAGAAGAAATTTTGATTAGAATTAAGGAAAAGATAGACAGATAAACAAAAAATGCATGAAATTATGACAAATTAAACAACAAAAAAGAAACAAAAGAAAAGAAAAGGAGGTTTAAAAAAAAACGAAGGAAGTAAGAAGAAAGGAATGAGCTAATGAACACCACGGCTGGGTGTAACGCGGACTAGCGGAACAAAAGGACTAGTAAGGGAGAGAAAGAGAGAGAGAATGTGGGAGACGAAGACATATAGAGATGAAACAGGGAGATTTTCAGAGCGAGGGAGACTCAGAGACGAACAGACAGAAATGTACACAGACCAGCAGAAACCCATTTAAAGGACCTTTTTACGTGCCTTCAGGCGCCCGGCTCTCAAGCGTAGTTGGCTAAACCGGATTGCGCGGAGACCAGGTGACGAACTCCTTGTGGTCCGGATTCACTCCCGGGGGTAGTCAGAGAAGCCACATTTCTCCCAGATTTACGGTATTTACAATGGAATCAAGGCCGAAACAACTCATGGCTTCTGGATACTAAAACAAACAAACAAACAAACAAACAAACAAACAAACGTGCCTTCAGGCTTAGGGGGCACAGTACAAAGTGCAAGACCTATATTTTATAGACCAATCGGTATTTGATATATGATGTGGTCAACATCACACCGACCGCCTTTACTTCCCTGGACTTTATCTTGTACGGTTTAAGGCTTGGTTGACTAGGAAACCACCGGTGATTAAAAACAATTACTGCTCGAATTTGAGCCCACACCCTTAGGATGTGCATGTAGGCATCCAGCCACTAGGCTACGGCGAGTGCCGCAGACAGACAGGGACCGTGCCAAAACGACGCTACCTGGAAACAAGAGACAATAAAACTGGTTCAATTACAATGTCCCATCCTGATACTGGTATGCCCTACTCTTAAACATCTACTAAACTCTTCCTACTGCAGTCCTATTTCGTGCGCACCTGTTGAAATTGTCTTCTTGTTTTCCCCCAGGAAACGCTCAGAGACATTAACTCTCATCATGCGGCTGGCGTTGGATTCGTACGATGACCTGAAGACGGCACCTCCTCTGTATGATCACCGTGAGTATTTCAGTTATAAACGTCAGAAGTTCCAACACAAACAAATAGTCACTAGAAATGCGGTTCATCGTCGATGAAAGAAGCAGTTACAACAGATCAGTTACTGCACACGCAAATAATAGTATAAGACACCATGACCTTTTTGGCAAGAAGCCGCTGGTCATTTTCTGAATCAACCGTTTACAACACAAACCACGCTGGACTCAAGCAAGGCAGCCGCGTTAGCGCAGTCGATAGGAGGCTCGCTTTAAAATCCAGCTGTTACTCGCTGCAGCCCACTGTTGGTGTTCGAAAGCGGGCGGTTCCAGGGGTTCACCCAGCCTCCATGAAATGGGTACCAGAGTGACACTCTTGGGTAAATGGAGGAGCGTCGCTGTAGCTACAGAGTTACGTGCAGATGGCGACACAGGCGGACAGTTTCTTATCAGCTGTCCGTACTGATGGCAGAGCACTTATGGTTTATAACCGTGTGTAATGACTTTGGTTCACATCTCCCATCTTTACCTTTACCTTTACATAGACTAACAGATGAAGTGGTCAGTAGAGACCCAAGCTGCCACACTTAGAGATCACATAGGTTGTTGCACACAGAGCAAAGGGCGCAGAAGGTAAAGGCTCTCGTGATTGACTGTTTACGCTAACAGAGAGCTGCAGTTCTGGTGAGAAACCATTAATGTTGGCACATCTGACAGCTGTCTTATACATATTTTTTTTTTGCGTGTGCGAGCTTCAGGATTTAGCTGGAACTGACACGTTTTTCACTGGTTTTTTTGCGTGTGCGAGCTTCAGGATTTAGCTGGAACTGACACGTTTTTCACTGGTTTTCAAATGGGGCAGAGAAGAGAAGTTTGCGTGATTTCCACTGGCCCAGGGACAGAGCATTCATAGGGTGAACAGTCAGCAATGATGTAGGAATCTCAAACCGTTTCACGAACTTTTCACATTAGCAGTATCGCGCTATTCCGAAACTGGTTACTTACCAATCATCATCATCAAGTGCATTGCCAGCTGGCGTAGGCGTTCATGCGTCGCCACAGATCTCGCTCTTTTGTGTTCTGGATCAATTCTAATTCTACAGATGATATTCCTTCATGCCAATGTCTTAAGTCATCCACCATCAATTATCTTGGTCTGCCTCTACCTCTTCTACCAGTGACCTTTCCAGTCGTCACGACAATTTCCAGTGATCCTTTTCTCATCACATGATGCAACACTTACCAATGTGAAAGATAATCAGTATCCCGCCTATCGCCTTTACCTCCTAAGATATATCTTGATACCAACATTTAGACTGGATATTTCTGTGTGCTTTGTTAAAATATAAAAAGTCGTGCGAAATCAAGTCAGATGAGACAATCTGGTAATCGCTGTTCCAGCTTCATCACTAACGAGTAACAGCATAGTTTCCCGTTCCTGTGTCAAAGAAAACCACACAAAATGTCCATCCCTGTTGCTTGAAAAGACAAATGGACATAAACTGCGGTTCTTTATTAATATCTTAGCCCAGAGGACGTCTCAGGACAGTTCAACATTTTAGAGGGTCGTAAGATTGGGTTTCCCAGCTTTTTGATGCTTTTAACGACCCCAAAACATGTAGAACTGGCCCTAACCCCAACCCACCTACGCCCTACGAGAGAGTGCAGCCTAGGTCCCACGACTGTATGCAGCCTAGGTCCAACGACTGCATGCAGCCTATCTACCACCCCCTGAAAAATTAGACTGTCCCGTGACCTGTGGATTTCCCCTGTTTGGTGTAGGATATTAATATAGCACCCAAACTGCTGTCCCAGCACAGCCACTAGCATGCATAGGCATCAGATGCCTACGGCAGCCGTCAGAAGTGCCAACACAAACATCCCGGCACTATAAAGGCAGTTCATCGTCGATGAAAGCAGTAGTTACAACAGATCAGTAGTTGCACAGGCAATTACTCGTATAAGACACAACCAATTCTCTGGCGAGAGACTACTCGTCATTTTCGGAATCTTCAGCTCGCAACATAAACTGCATTGGACACATTCGAAAAGCATTCTAAATGAAATTTGCACCGCACAGTATTGCGTCATGCACTCATCACCGTAACTGGGCGACGGAAGTATATCCTTTCAGTCTATTAAAAAAAAGGAGATTGCAACGGCTAACTATTTGTCAGAAGCAAAAACTAAAAATAGAACGCCTTTCTATCTGCCATTTTGACCGGAAATCCTGTCATTTCGAAACAACCTTTATTATTTCGGATCAAGGATTACCAGACTGGTAAGGAAGCACACTAGTCGGTGACCCTACAACGACTTCTATGTAACATTAAGTTAGTAGCTCCTCCTTTCCAGGTCGTTACAAGCCAACCCCAGAATCTGCCGGTTAGTTGTGATTTTACTTCATTATTTTCAGTTAATTTGCCATTACTTTATGAACTGTTGACTCTCATACCTTTGTCCAAATCAACGTAAAGCGGTTTGCCGTTAAATCTGCTTGCGGCTGAATCGAACTTGATATGCCGGAATTATGAAACTATATTCACAACCCATTAAGTCATAGACACCGAAAGAACACAGATAGGAGTATGCGTGCTTCATTCTGAAATAAGGGAAAACTAATACGTAACATGCAGACGCGGAGTCGCTATAAAGAAATAGAGGGGGGGGGGTGCACTCGCCGCTCATAATTTTATAGGAGGCCTCAAAGAGGGCTTAGACTCTGTTTCAGTGTGCAATAATAATTATTATTATTAATATGTCATTATTACTGTGTGTTGAATGGCAAATAAATATATGTGAAATGACGTGAAATGTCTAGGAAAATACTTGAAAGGAGAAAAGCAAATAGTTTGGTAGGTCGTTACCCGCTCCCGCCCCCCCCCACCCCCCCCCCCCCCTCCAACCCGCCCCTGACCTCTTGTTGGTTAACTTTTTTTTTTTTTAGAGAAAAGGGGAGCGGTGCGTTACTTATTTGAGCGCCCTGCCCCTGTTGTATGCAGTAATATGTGAAGATCCAAGAGTTCACACTCCAACAGATATTATCTGATATAGATCTATCTTTAGCCGAACCAAAAAAAGGAGAAATTGTCTGTGATAACCCGCGCAGAAGTTGACAGGTTTCACAGAGTTTCTGTCAACAGTTCAAGCTTTCAGGAACGCAGAAATTTTGTAGCTGGCCAGAGATAGCTGAGCAGATTTTCCAGATTATAGCATGTAAACTCCAGGGGTGGCTGAATGCTGACAGTATGGATGCTGGCTTTTGTAGGAATTTAAGGAAAGTGGAGAAAAGTCAGAAAAACAACAGAAAGGTAGAATAAATTATATGATAACATACGTAAATGTGAGTTAATAGTGCACGTTAGTCGACCGTTGACTAGGGGTGCTGATAAAAAGAGACATTTATGGTGGGCCTTAAGGGATCAGAGATCCCCCTTCCCACCCCAAACCCCGAAATGTCAACGCCAATGACACTGACATACATATAATATCATAGCATCTGGTTTGAGAATGAAGGTGGAGGCAGTCACTACACCTTTCGCTGGCTTGAAAACCAGCTTTACACGCTTATCGTAATTGTAACAGACTCACAGAGCATAATGAGAACGGTTAGAGACGGGTATGCTCCGTGTAGAGAAGCAAGAATCGCTTTAGAGTTTCCGAGTAGTTATCATTCTTTGGATATTTTCCCCAGGAATCCAGGTGTATTGGGAAACTAACACACAAATAGGCTGGCTGGTTCTGCTCAATGTGGTGGTGAACTGATGCATGACAAACTAAATGTTGCAAGGATCCTTTGGGAAGGAATGAACTGCGTGGATGCTAAAACAGTTTAATCATAGTCTGAATGGTGCTAGGAGGAGTTCCCATGGGATCTGGCCGACGCTCAACACTCAAGGGAATTGGACACTGATATACAGTCAGACAGTTACTGGTACCATCGTTTGCTGCTGAAGATGGGGGCGGAGCGCTTATGGTACTGTCACAGTTGCTGTTTTGTCGATGTTTGATGAGGATTGAGGGTCGTGTTAGCGCAGTCGATAGGAGCCTCGCTTTCAAATCCAGCTGTGACTCGCTGCAGCCCACGACAGGTGTTCGAAAACCGGGCGGTTCCCGGGGTTCACCCAGTCTCTAGGTAATGGGTACCAGAGTTAACACTCTAGGGTAAATGGAGGAACATCGCTGTAGCTACGCAGTTGCGTGCGGACGGCGACACAGGCGGACAGTTTCTTATCAGCTATCTGTACTGGTGGCAGAGCACTTATGGTTTATAACCGTGTGCAATGACGCTGGATCATATCTGCCGACTTTACATTTTACCTTTGTCGGTTTGCGGCGTCCTTGGCTTAGGCGTTGCGAGTCTGACTCGTAATCCAACGTACCGGGATCGAAACCCACTGCTGGCTGCGTGGATTTTTTATCGTAGTATGGGGCGTCGCAGGTCGACCCAGCCTAAAATAGGATCCAGGATGGCTGTCCTGGGGAAGTAAAGACGGCCGGCGTAATGCTGACCACATTACCCATGCAGTGCCGATTGGTCTGTAAAAAATATGGGACGCTCTGCCCATATACCCGATGCGCCTTAGGCGTAATAAGGGATCTTTACTTTTTTACTTTGTCGGTTTGATTGAATATTGAAAATTGACACCGAAATATATTTTGTGTTGTCCACAGCGGACCCTGCTACAATCCAAGTCTTACTGTATGTAACCAGTATTGACGCTGTCAATGAAGCCAGTATGGTAGGTTTAACTGTCTCTTCTAATGTAATCATTCTAAATCCTCGCTTTTATCCTAAACCTAAACAGCATTACTAACATCAGCTCATTATCTTCTTCTTCTTAACTTCTTCTGTTATGACTTCAGATGTCTAGGTAGATTTAAAGTTCTTCTCCTTGCTCTTCTCGCCGTCTTGACAAAAGACATAACAGTAGTTTTAGAATTTCTTAGATATTGTTTTTCCTTCTTGTACTTTGTCTGCCTTGTGCTTTTCGTCTATCTCCTCGTTTGATGTATGCCTTTTACGGTAAGGCGTCACAACCCATTTCAGTCCAAGTGGGCAAACCATTTGATTTGCTGTCTTTGTATATGAATTGTTACTGTGCCGACTTTTTTTTCCCTTATGACCTCATTTATAATTATATTTATTCTGGTCACTCCTGAAGTCTTTCTCTGACATTTCATTTACATGGTTACTAATTTCAGCTCATTATCGCCATTCACAAGAAGAAGAAGAAAAAGAAAAAGAAAAAAAAATAATTGCGAAGAGAACACAATCATTACTATCAAAATCATCATTTCAGACAGAACATCGTCTTAAACTACATCTTAAAATCATCATTTAGAACAAAACATAACCTGTCAAACTGTCACTACTGTCTGTCTGTACCTCTTTGTTGGTTCGGTGTAGACAGGGGGTCTGAATACAAATAGTCATACTTTTACTTAGGTTGGCGCGCGTGGACAACTAAGAACACTTTGTGAAGCACTGCTATATAGTATCCTCATCATCATTATCACGTAGCAGGTCATCTACAGAATGCCACCCTCATCACAACCCGCCTAGAAGAAGCTCGGTTCTTCGCCAGCCGTCCCGCACTTTCCTATCCAAGGCGTCTCTTATGTTCCTGACCATCTTCGGTCTGGTCGACCGCTGCCCCTATTCCCTGATACCATGCCCCTGCTACTAGTTTTCTTATCCACTGTGGTGCTTGATACAACCCACAGCCAGCTCCAGATATATATATATATATATATATATATATATATATATATATATATATATATATACAGCCGGACGTGATACAACCATAGTGTTTCAGAGACAGGATGCTGTTTACCAGCCAATTTCCCTTGACGTTCCAATCTTTCATGATTTCAGTATTTTGTTTTCTTTTTTGTCCATGGTATACTTAGAATATGACTATAGCATTTCAGTCCACAAGCCCCAATTTTCTCCCGAATGACACTGAGACGGGCTAGGACTCAAATCCGTACGTTGCTGCAGAAAAAGCCATCATCAAAGCTGTCGTAAAAGAATAATTACCAACATAACATTAGACAGGCCGTCATAACTTTCATAAACTCCTGATACCCCTAATCACTAGCTCGGGCTTAATAGTCATAATTACTAGAATCATCTCAGTCATTTATGTATCCGTCCCAATTTGGGACGCACGTATTTGATTATGTTAAAGCCCCACCGGACTGTTGTTACTAATACAACCTGACGGTTAAACGGAGTTTCTGGGACTTGTGCCGGGGGGAATTCTCATCCGGAGGGTGGCACATTGTGTCAGCGGGTATTTATCTCTCGTTGTGCGGTCATGGTGGGCTTTAAGAAAATTCAATCACTCATCGCAGTCATGGTAATCGCTACACAGTCATGGTAATCGCTACACAGTCATACACATAGTCACTTACCACAATAATAAAGGAAAGATATAAAACCGAATGACAAGTGTATCAGCGAACTTCACAATATACCAAACACATACAAAACGTGAACGTTGCGGCTGTACAGCCTTCGTTAGGACGCACACAAATCGAACAAAACCACATGAATACACAAAAATCACTTAACTCAGGTATCCAGATGCAGCCACGTTGATGTCTTGCCAGTGCAGTAAGAAGAACACTGGCCACAACAATCAAGACCAGTCTTTCATATTTGACGGTCCGCGAGCCTCAGGAGTATGTGAAACAAATTTATGGAGCTTAACGGGGCTAAAAAAAACGCTAAACTTGAGAATGCAGTCTGCAGTTCTAATGCTTATAAATGTCTAAATAAGATTGCAAAAGGCAGAGAAGAGAAAAATGTTAATACAAACATAAAGTATACTTCAGCAACTTTAATTAGCAGAACAAGACTAGAAATAAAACACAACACACGGGCACAACACACAATGCAATGTTGTGTGAAATTTTCAAAGCAATCGGTACGGATCATGGGGGGAAAGGCACGTATTGGTAGCCCTATTCAGAAGTCAAAGCTGCGGAACTAAAAACAATTCATGGCCGGCAACAAAACAAAAAACCGATATGATCGTTTCCTTAGCTATGTAGTTTCTTGGATTGTGCGATACTTCACGCGTGTAGTTGAATGCAACGTTGTGTAAAAATTTGAAAGCAATCGGTGAAGAACTTTAGGAGATTAGCTATTTCAACTAATAGACCTTTACATTTTTACTAATAATAGATTTTGTACAAGGGACAGGTATGCCTAATATATCGACCGCTTTATCATAACAAAGCTAGTCATCCCCTTGTAAGATGCATTTTTTCGTTATTTTGAAGCCCCACCCTGGGTCTTGCCATAAATATGGTCTAACGACTGAACGCGGTTTCCGGGACCTCTCCACGGGTGATCCTCATCCGCATGGTGGCACTTTGTGTCATCGGGTGTTTATTGCTTGTGTGATGTCCTTCTTCTTCTTTTGTCAAAATCTGCTTGTGCCGCTAGGCGTCGCAGTCTATCAGATGATCGGCAACCGAGCCAGGGCGCGCTCAGTCGCTTCATATGCCGTGATGTTATGAAGTCTCAAGTTGTCCGTGACTCCTTTAATCCATATTCTTCTTGGTCTTCCCCTGCCTCTTGTTGTTTGTCCTATTGGGGTAAAATGTACGACTACTACTACCGCACACTTAATACTGTCGTGTCCATGTGGGATGCAATTTTCAGTTATTTTGAAGCCCCAACCTGGCTTTTTACCGGGGACCCAAATATAGCCGGGCATTACAAATGGCCTAATGGTGAAACGGGGTTTCTGGGACCTCTCCACGTGCGATCCTCATCCGCATGGTGACACTTTGTGTCACCGGGTGTTTATCGCTTGTTTTATGTCCTGGTGGGGTAAAACGAGAGAGAGAGAGAGAGAGAGAGAGAGAGAGAGAGAGAGAGAGAGAGAGAGAGAGAGAGAGATAGAGAGAGAGAGATGTACATAATTTTTCATCAACGATATTTTCCTAAACTGCTGCAGCCTATACACGCGTAAATACGTTTATATAAAGTCCGTGGCGGACTGTCCACGAGTTTCATCTAGAAACTGATGAGCTTATTGTGACCATCCATCTTTGTCTACAGGACTTCACAGTGGGAATCTTGCTCCATCTACGCTGGGTGGACAAAAGAATCTACCACGACAAGGCAAAACTCTACTTTGAAAACAATAGAGTCGAGTCGCTCGACTTCGACTCAGAGAATATCAAAAAGGTCTGGGTACCAGATATTTTTTTCCCTAACGAGAAGAAAGGATCCTTTCATGACATAATGACACACAACCAGATGATGCGCTTGTACAAGGAGGGGACAATACTCTATATATCAAGGTAAGGAAATTCACTCGTTTATTTGACCCTGGCGATGTGTTACAGTGGCACCGACTCTACAAAATCGAAGTGGGGGGGGGGGGGGGGACTGTTTGGCCCCTTTACAAATATTCTAGGAAAGAAAGGGAGGGGGTTTCTGTGCGTGTGTCTGTGTGTGTGTTTGTTTTTATGTGTGTGTGTCTTTGTTCTCTTTGTTTGTGTGTCTGTATGTGTCTGTTCATATCTGTGTAAGTGTGTAGGCTTGTGTAAATTAGTAACATTCATTTCGCAAAGATAATTAACCTTTACGTCCTTTTTAGGATGAAATGTGTTGTTATTTGAAGCCCCACCCTGGCTTTTGCCAGGGGCCGCAATATAGGCAGGCCATAAATATGGCCAATTGTCTGAACGCGGTTTCTGGGACCTCTCCACGGTGATCCTCATCCACATGGTGGCACTTTGTGTCATCTGGTATTTATCGCTTGTGTGATGTCCTGGTGGGGTAAAAGAAGATTGAGTCTGACGGAGTATCTACGTGCGCGTCTGCGTGCGATAATGTGCTTATGTATGTGTATCTGTGCAAGAGTGTCTGCGCATGTTTAATGTGTATGTTTCAGCGTGTGTGATTGTGAGTGTGTCTCTGCATGCATATATGTACGTATGTATGCGTATATTTGGGCGGCTTGTGTGTGTGTGTATGTTTCTATGAGGGTATGTGTGCATGTATGTGGTTTTGTATGAATGTGTATGTAAGTGAGTGGGTAGGCGTGTGCATAATGGGTGTGTGTGTGCGTGCGTGCGGGAGTGTGTGCATTTTTCTACCCACGATTTTTTTTCTTGATATTCATAATATGCATATTATTATATGAACATCACACGCTTTATTGATAAAATACAAATGCTGTGTGAAAGATGGGTGCTTAGAAGAGCCGATTGTAAGACAGGCCTGCGTGCCAAATTTGTGACCCTTTGAAGTTATGTCTGTCTGTCTGTCTGTCTGTCTGTCTGTCTGTCTGTCTGTCTGTCTGTCTGTCTGTCTGTCTGTCTGTATCTTTGTATTTATGTTTGTGTATCTGCCCCCTCTATTTATCTCTTCTTCACTCCCTCATTCAGTTTCTCTCTCGCACTTTCTCTCTCTCTCTCTCTCTCTCTCTCTCTCTCTCTCTCTCTCTCTCTCTCGCCCTCTCTCTCGCTCTTTTTCTCACATACATAAACGTGTAGATTTTACATACCTCTTGTTCAATTCTTACTCGTATGTTGTTATCCTGAATCCTTTCTTACTATGTATAAATCTCTCTGTCTGTCTTTAACGTTTCTTCCTATTTCCCCCTTGATCTTACTCGCACTCGTAATTGTCTTATTTCCATCATCCCACTTATATTTTATTTTGAAGCCTCCACACATCTCACCACCCCCCCCCCCCTCCCCCATCTCTTTCCTAGCCATTTGTTTTCTTCTATCATCTCTCAGCAACACTTTCTACTATCTCCTCCCATCGCAGTTTTCTCCTGTCTCCTCTCTATCTCACTTAATTACCTCACAAATTACCCCACATGCCGCCACACTTCTCTGATACCATCTTGAAGGCATCAACAACTGCAGTGATGCAACACGTCTTGCGGCGCATTATCCAGAATTGGCTGCACATTTCGGGACAATGTGACAGCCAGAAGGTAAACTCTAGAACCTCGAACACCTCTCCTGAGTCTCCTTAGCCTCCCTGGTGTTTCATCTGGTTTCCATTTGCCGTAGTTTGTGAGTGAGCTGTCTACGAAGAGACTGGGGTATTTCATATCATTGACTGTAACGAGTAGGACAATAATCGCTAACATGTTGGGGGTTTCTTGTTGCCAAGTGGTTTGTCTTGTGTTTGGTGTTCTTGTTGCCAAGTGGTTTGCTTTGTGCTTCGTGTTCTTTGTCGTGAGCTAGTTCCAAGGGCATATCCAGAGATAGGCAGGTGGGAAAAAAACTTTGTGGGGGATATCGTCACGTGTTTAATGTATACAAAGGCCCTGGAGATAAGTAAACATTATGGTAGATATATTTGTGCTCAGACAGATAGACGGAGGGACGAGATACGAATGGATGCTGATACACAACAAGGAAAACAGAGAGACCTTATTCATACTAACAGACATGCTAGAAAGAAAGACAGGGAGGTAGAAATACAAACACGTAGACTGAAATGTTTACTGACAGACGCACAGACAGACAGGCAGGTAGTCGGGGGCTGAGTGGTCTAAGGGCATGGCGTCCGCCTCAATGCTGGAGGTCCTTGGTTCAGGCGCCGGGGAAGGTTGGGATTTGTTCACTGGAGTTCTAGTAAATTGCCCCTGTTTCTAGTTAGTAAGATGGGTCGCACGTAAAAAAAAAAAATCCTTTGGCAGTTGAAAATCGATAAAGGTAGCCTAACGGCGCTGCGCCGACTAACCTAGAGTTAAAAATCCGCCCAAAATAATTCAGGGTCCTCGCCGGTGCTAGGGAGTTCGTGCACTGCGCTGAAATTCTTCGGACTCAGGCTTGAGTTAGAAGCAAAACGGAGCATTTATTGGTTACTACCCTTGTGCCATGATGTTGATCTATTGTTCAAACCATCAACCATCAAAGCAGGTAGTCATTGAGACAGACAGACGGGTGATTGAATGAATGAAATCTTCCTGTGGCTTTCGAGACCCAAGTTGCTGGGGGTGGGGTGGAGGGGGGGGGGCAAGGCGGAGGTAGACCCACTGCATAAACGCATACAAATGAAACGCTCTGTAAAAATGTTGTGCACGTAAAGGTCAAGTTCTGGAATAAGACCAAAGCCTAGATATTGTCGAAGAACTAGAAAACCAGAATTTCCCACTGGAGTTTACAAAATTTTTATTAAAAAATGGATGAATAGATTAATAGTGAAAGACAGGCATATTTACGGGGGGGGGGGGGGGGCAGACAGACAGGCCGACCAACCGACAGTCAGGCAATATATTCAGACGCAAAGACAAGGATAACATAGACAAATGGTGAGACTAATGGATGGATGAATGGATGGGTGGATGAATGGATGGATAGAGGGTGAATGGGTACCGAATGAATGGATAGGTTGTTAGGTGGACAGGTAGACAGACAGACAGACAGACAGACAGACAGACAGACAGACAGACAGACAGACAGACAGACAGACCGGTGGAAATATATTCAGACGCGAAGACAAGGATAACATAGACAAATGGTGAGACTGATGGATAGATGAATCGATGGGTGGATGAAAGGATGGATAGAGGGTGAATGGGTACCGAATGGATGGATAGGCTGTTAGGTGGACAGGTAGACAGACTGACAGACAGACAGACAAGTTAGTAAGTAGATAGGTATTGGGATGGTAAATGTGGATGCATTCCTAACTTGGAAGACTCTGGGGTACACCGAGTTGTAATAATAGTAATACTAATAATACCAATACTAATAATAATAATAATAATAATAATAATAATAATAATAATAATAATAATAATAATAACCATTTCTGCAAAAGAGTAAGTGGACAAGAAGTTAGTCTTACAAGCTTAAAACGACCCAGGGTATGTACATTATTATAACCTGGTTGGGATTAAGTTATGTTTATGTAGTAAATACAATTTTTGATTTGATTACTTTTGTCTGTTATTTTTTTTTTTTTTTTTCACACGCAGACTATCGATGACACTAAGCTGCCCCATGGATTTGATGAACTACCCTTTCGACAAGCAGACGTGTTATCTTCTCATCATGAGCTGTGAGTAATGGATGTAATTCCAACATCAGCATTCTCATAGAATATCAGAATCACCATTCTCATAGAATACCAACATCGCCATTGTCATAGAATACCAACATCGTTATTCTCATAGAATACCAACATCGCCATTCTCAAAGAATACCAACATCACCATTCTCATAGAATACCAACATCACCATTCTCATAGAATACCAACATCACCATTCTCATAGAATACCAATATCGAAATTCTCACAGAGTACTAACATCGCCATTCTTATAGAATACCAACATCACCATTCTCAAAGAATATTAACATCGCCATTATCACAGAATACCAACATCACCATTCTCAAAGAATACCAACTTCGCCATTTTCACAGAACATCAACCTCACCATTCTCAAAAAATACCATCACCATTCTCAAAGAATACCAACATCACCATTCTCATACAATACCAACATCGCCATTGTCATAGAATACCAACATCGCCATTCTCATAGAATACAAACATCGCTATTCTCAAAGAACACCAACATCGCCATTCTCAAAGAATACCAACATCGCCATTCTCAAAGAATACCAACTTCGCCATTCTCAAAGAATACCAACATCACCATTCTCAAAGAACACTAACTTCGGCATTCTCAAAGAATACCAACATCACCATTCTCAAAGAACACTAACTTCGGCATTCTCAAAGAATACCAACATCACCATGCTCACAGAATACCAACTTCGGCATTCTCAAAGAATACCAACATCACCATTCTCAAAGAACACTAACTTCGCCATGTTCACAGAATATCAGCATCACCATTCTCAAAGAATACCAACATCACCATGCCCATAATAATGGTGTGTATTCTTGGTAATTCGAGTAATGTGCTGTTGAAGGCTCTCTGGCCTAGTGGCGTTCCTAGGGAGGGTATCGCAGGTAGGGAACCTGCCCTGGGTGCCACTTGTAGATAGCAGTATTTTGTGTGTGTGTGTGTGTGTGTGTGTGTGTGTGTGTGTGTGGTAATGTCACAAAATTAAAATTTTAACTAAACCGAAATATGCTGCTGATATCCTTGGCTAGAGCGTTGTTTCCGAAAGATGAAGCTCTGCAATAATATTCATTGGATTGTATATTTGGTTTTTAATAACAGTTTTAGGCGATTGAAAAACATTTCCTGGATTCGAACCTGTGTCATTCTCTTCACTTGTATGTTATCTTAAAGAGTGAAATCCTGGAAGAGGGGATGGGCAGGGTAAGGACTACCTACCCGACCCTATTACATGATTATGGGGAGATTTGTGGCGGTCCGCCTATACGTTTCGCGATCTGCCTGGAGGTTTTGTTTGCCCCGCCACTGTTCCAGCAGACCACTTGTTGAGGACCACTTGTTGAAGACCACTGGTCGAAGACCACAGGTTGAAGACCACTGGTTGAAGACCACTGGTTGAAGACCACTGGTTGAAGACCACTGGTTGAAGACCACTGGGCCGCAGACCACATGTTGATGACCACTGGTTGAAGACCACTGGTTGAAGACCACTGGGCCGCAGACCACTGGCATCGAATAGACCCACATGTTTTTACGTCCCGCATCAAACCTTATCCAGCCACCTTTTCCTGCATCAGACTAACCCTGTTTCTTTCCATTATCAATTGTTTGAAACTTCTGCCTGTCCTTGTTTAGTTGTTTGCATCGTTTCAAGGCGAATCCACGCCCAGCCTTCGTGTTATATACATCTTATTCATTTGTTTCTAAATATATTATTGTCTGCCTGTGTGTTTTCTTACAAACATCGGCATGTGTTAGCTATTATCTGCTGTTGCTATGCTCTTCTGTTTTGTCAGAAAACATTCATTTTCAACTTCTATCGGGGCACCACACAATGGTTACGTTACCTATCGTCCTGTGTAGGTGTGCTCTCTGGTAATACTAAGTACAGTGGCTAGACGTTATCAGTTCGCATGTGTAAGTGGTGTAGACAAAATTAAGCCATAGCAAGTAACAATTACAAGGTAAGGGACATCACGTGATATTTTCCTTTTCGTTGCTTGGCTGTCGAGAGTATGCGTGCGCACTTAGAATAGTGCTAATGGAACAGCTAGTTCTCAACACATTACAATTTCTGCATTAGTGGACTCAGCCTGCCGCGAGCCTTCTTTCCACTATATTAACACTCTTTCAGGCCCATGAATTAAGGCAATCTTGGCCGACATTAATTTCCCTTCACAAAAATGACAGAGGGGGTGGTGTACAAGAAAGGCAATAGAGAATGTAATATACTTCTAATCCAAATAAATGTACATATTTTTTAAAGAGAGATGAATGTACATTTTGAATCTGATGATAAGTGTGTGTTTAATTTGTTTATAGTCAGTAGAAAAAAAAAGAATTCATCAGGTGTTAATTTCACAATATAATTTTACAAATTCTCCACTTACCATGATTTTGCAGCCACAAGAGTAGTGAATATCCCAATTTGAGAACAAAAACTTCAAAGTTTGTTCAATTTTCTAACAATTCCCAAAGTTATGATGTTTCTGGGTTAGATTAGCACTCAGGAACGCTTAGTTCTCACAGAGGGCTGAGCCAAATTTAAGAGAAAATATGGCCGAAAATGGGCCATTACACACACACAATTTTCTTTTTACTTTGTACAGTTATAAACAGACAGTAACTACAATGACTTCAATATAGCTTAGCCACAGTATAGTACTGTCTCTTTGCTTGGAGCACTTTCCTTGTCTTACACCATAAATACGGTAGCAATGGTGCACATTGTCTGTCTCTAATATACATCTCTAGTTGTGTACCCAAAATGTCTATCTCTAATGTACATCTCCAGTTGTGTGCCTAAAATGTATGTCTCTGATAGACATCTCCACTTGTGTACCTAAAATGTCTGTCTCTAATGTACATCTCCACTTGTGTACCTAAAATGTCTGTCTCTAATGTACATCTCCACTTGTGTACCTAAAATGTATGTCTCTAATATACATCTCCACTTGTGAACCTAAAATGTCTGTCTCTAATGTACATCTCCATTTGTGTACCTAAAATGTATGTCTCTAATGTACATCTCCAGTTGTGTACCTGAAATGTCTGTCTCTAATATACATCTCCATTTGTGTACCTAAAATGTCTGTCTCTAAAAGACATCTCCACTTGTGTACCTAAAATGTATGTCTCTAATGTACATCTCCAGTTGTGTACCTGAAATGTCTGTCTCTAATATACATCTCCATTTGTGTACCTAAAATGTCTGTCTCTAATATACATCTCCAGTTGGGTACCTAAAATGTCTGTCTCTAATATACATCTCCAGTTGTGTACCTAAAATGTCTGTCTCTAATATACATCTCCATTTGTGTACCTAAAATGTCTGTCTCTAATATACATCTCCAGTTGTGCACCTAAACTGTCTGTCTCTAATATACATCTCCAGTTGTGTACCTAAAATGTCTGTCTCTAATATACATCGCCAGTTGGGTACCTAAAATGTCTGTCTCTAATATACATCTCCAGTTGTGTACCTAAAATGTCTGTCTCTAATATACATCTCCAGTTGTGTACCTAAAATGTCTGTCTCTGATGTACATCTCCAGTTGGGTACTCGGACGCCGACCTAATTCTGGAGTGGATGAACACCACAGAGCCCTTCAGTGACGTCTTGGACGGACAACCAATCGTCGTAGATGAGAGCATTGTCCTGCCTCAGTTTGAGGTGAAAGATGTCAAGGCCAACACCTGTAACAAACGCTACCACCAGAAATACGGTACGTTTTCTCACCTGTAATAACATCTATGACAATCCAAAGTGCGGTTGGGTACCCTAAACCAGTGCGCGGTGCCCTAAACCAGTGCAGAACTGTTCCCCTAAACCAGTGCAGAACTGTTCCCCTAAACCAGTGCAGAACTGTTCCCCTAAAAGAGTGCAGAAGAATGCCCTAAACCAGTACAGAACGGTGCCCTAAACCAGTGCAGAACGGTGTCCTAAACCAGTGCAGAACTGTTCCCCTAAACCAGTGCAGAACTGTTCCCCTAAACCAGTGCAGAACTGTTCCCCTAAAAGAGTGCAGAAGAATGCCCTAAACCAGTACAGAACGGTGTCCTAAACCAGTACAGAACGGTGCCCTAAACCAGTGCAGAACGGTGTCCTAAACCAGTACAGAACGGTGCCCTAAACCAGTACAGAACGGTGCCCTAAACCAGTACAGAACGGTGCCCTAAACCAGTGCAGAACGGTGCCCTAAACCAGTGCAGAACGGTGCCCTAAACCAGTGCAGAACGGTGCCCTAAAACAGTGCAGAACGGTGCCCTAAACCAGTGCAGAACGGTGCCCTAAAACAGTGCAGAACGGTGCCCTAAAACAGTGCAGAACGGTGCCCTAAAACAGTGCAGAACGGTGCCCTAAAACAGTGCAGAACGGTGCCCTAAAACAGTGCAGAACGGTGCCCTAAAACAGTGCAGAACGGTGCCCTAAACCAGTGCAGAACGGTGCCCTAAAACAGTGCAGACACGGTGCCCTAAAACAGTGCAGAACGGTTGCCCTAAACCACAGTGCAGAACGGTTGCCCTACCAGTGCAGAACGGTGCCCTAAACCAGTGCAGAACGGTGCCCTAAAACCAGTGCAGAACGGTGCCCTAAACCAGTGCAGAACGGTGCCCTAAACCAGTGCAGAACGGTGCCCTAAACCAGTGCAGAAGGGTGCCCTAAACCAGTGCTGAACGGTGCCCTCAACCAGTGCTGAACGGTGCCCTCAACCAGTGCTGAACGGTGCCCTCAACCAGTGCTGAACGGTGCCCTCAACCAGTGCTGAACGGTGCCCTCAACCAGTGCTGAACGGTGCCCTCAACCAGTGCTGAACGGTGCCCTAAACCAGTGCTGAACGGTGCCCTCAAAACCAGTGCTGAACGGTGCCCTCAACCAGTTCTGGTGTATTTCGTTATCATGCTCACCAAGGCGTCCTCAGCATGGATGTTATGCTACGGTCTTCAAGTCTAGTCACGCAATGGCAAGAGTCCGTAAGTCTCTCGCGGAAACCGCCATATCTATCTAATGGTCTATAATTCGCCTAGGGTCTTCAAATCGAACCAAGATTTATCTCATATTTTTTGAGTTATGGCCGTGCCGTTCACAGCTTTTTCTGGCGAACATTTATTTCCGGTGGTCACACACGAGTCAGAGATCAAGCTAACCAGAGAGATATGTGATTTCTCTAGGAGGTACTTCAGGGAAGTGATTGTGCATGTTCTTGGATTATGCTGATGAAGTTTGTCTAGCCATAACGTTCACAAGTAGTTGGTGATTATGAAAACGAGAAGTTGACTGGTTCTACTTGTCATTTGATATATGTTCACCTGAAATAAACGCCACCACCAGAAATATGGTAAGTTTTCTCACCTGAAATAAACGCCACCACCAGAAATATGGCAAGTTTTCTCACCTGAAATAAACGCCACCACCAGAAATATGGTAAGTTTTCTCACCTGAAATAAACGCCACCACCAGAAACATGGCAAGTTTTCTCACCTGAAATAAACGCCACCACCAGAAATATGGTAAGTTTTCTCACCTGAAATAAACGCCACAACCAGAAATGTGGTAAGTTTTATCACCTAAAATAAACGCCACCACCAGAAATATGGTAAGTTTCCCACCTGTAAGAAACGCTACCACCAGAAATATAGTAGGTTTCCCAACTGTAATAAACGCTAAAAACAAGAAATATTAAAACTTGTTTTCAATAAATAAATTGTAGGTTTAGGCAAATGTAAAAAACTTAGTTGCTTTTTATTCGAAGGATTTGACTGAATCATCTAGAAAACGTACCACCAGAAAATATAGCATTCTCACCATAGAATTTAAACGTTATGTAGAGAATTTGACTTTGTTGACGCTACACCAAATTATAGTGTTGTAGAGAGACCTGTAATAAACGCAGACCAGACAGCCATACAGACAGACATAAGCCATGTAACAGACAGACAGACAGATATACAGACAGACCAGAACCAGACAGAAGTTTCAGAATAGACAGACCAGACAGACAGTTGTCAGACAGACAGACAGACAGACAGACAGACAGACAGACAGGACAGGTTTCCACATTCAGACAGAACAGGACATTTACAGGCACAGACAGACATTCGAGACAGAAACAGACAGACAGACAGACAGACAGACTACTATATAATGTGCGCCTATGATGTGTTGTAACCTGCTTCTCTCCTAACCTATTGGCGTATACTCAGTCTCTCCTATCCTATGACAGGAAACCACAGCTGCCTGCAGGCGGAGTTCCACATGTCCAGGAATATCTGGTTCTACATGGTGCAGATGTACGTGCCCAGCATCCTCATCGTGATGCTGTCCTGGATCTCTTTCTGGCTGACCGTCAACTCCGTGCCCGGGCGTATCTCCCTGGGACTCCTCACCGTACTCACCATGACAACACAAAGCTCAAGTATGCACACATCTAACGTATTGTCTGTCTCGTGTACCTATCTTTTCTGTTTCCTTAAGAAAGGACTTAACCAACCCCCACCCCTTTCCCCCGCCCTACCCCAACAGTTGAAATACAGTCAGGAGGCGATCAGCGCAAGAAAGGCACGGGGCTGCATATCATCACCTCTTTCCGTACCAAGCAACTCAGCACGCGTTTATCGAAATTAACTTAACATGCTGTGCTTTTTCTTTTACAACCACGTGGCAAATAGGCAGCTGTAGCATTAATATATTCTACCCCGAATGTTACCTCATTACTTTTGGTCTCATTGTGTCAACCTTTTCATACCGAAACCCTATTGGTTAAAGCTCATAAACAGTTGCCTAGGAGTGCAAGAGTTTGAAGCCCATACACAACAGCCACAAACAATCAACAGTAAATGTTACGTGAACAGACAACCGTCTCGCACTAACCTACGCATGTGAGTCATGGACCATTTCGCAATTACTAAAGAAAATCTAAACTTTTGAGCTTTTATGTTGCCAGAATACAGCATTTTTCTAAAACAGTTGATACAAGAGCAAATTAAGCTGGCAATTGAAAAAATCTGAAATACGAACTCTCGCACTCATAAATACCGTACGCCACCACACATACACATACACGTACATACATAGATGTATACATACATACATACACACACACACACCACAAACACACACACCACACACACACACACACACACTCACACACCCACACGCACACGCACACACACACACACACACACACACACACATACAGACACACATACATACTACATACATACATACATAACATACATACATACATACATACAATACATACATACATACATACATACATACATACATACATACATACATACATACATACATACATACATACATACATACATTACATACAGACCATACATACATACATACATACATACATACATACATACACATACATACATACATACATACATACATACATACATACATACATACATACATACATACATACATACATACATACATACATACATACATACATACATACATACATACATACATACATACATACATACATACATACATACATACATACATACATACATACATACATACATACATACATACATACATACATACATACATACATATGTAGTCAAGCTACGACGAATACCTTGATTTAGTTGCACATGCGAAGAAACCTGGCCACTATGTATAAAAAGGCCATCGCACCAGGGACCGGTCTCATTTTGGCTATTTGGTTGTGAGTCATGGGTAGTGAACCGAGAAAATATAGTTCTGATTTTTTGTTGCGTGGTCGTTCACGGCCCTAAGACACAAAGAATGCCCTGGAACAGATATAAATATTTGGCTTCAGGTACGTTTCATTTGTTTAGGTGGTGTTATATTTAATTTTTATTGTGCTAAAATTTTAAAAAATAAATTTGCATTTGTCACAAAAATAGAATTTCAAATTCATCATTATCTTCATCATCATTATCATCGACATTACCATCAACATTATCATCATCTTTTTTATTATCCTCATCCCTGTCATCATTTTTATTAACATTATAACATCATCATCGTTATCATCTTTAATATCATCATCATTATCGTCATCGTCGTCATCATCAGCCACATCATCATATTATCATCATCATCATCAGTATTATCATCATGCTTATTATTAATATAATTATCATCATCATCACCTGCTGCAGGTGTGAACGCCGCACTTCCCCGGGTGTCCTACACTAAAGCTATCGATGTCTGGATGTCCACGTGTCTAGTGTTCGTGTTTGCCGCTCTGTTGGAGTTTGCCATCGTCAACGTACTTAGCCGCAAGGACTCCATCCGGGGCTTCTCTTTTAGGCACATATTTTCGGTCTCCAAAGATTACGAGGGCGGAGACACTCCGGCAACAGAGGTAAGAATGCTAGCAAATATGCTGTTTCTTCCAACACTACTATCACCATCTACACCTCCTCTTAACCAGCATTATCATCGTATTCATCATCATCATCGTGGTCCTCGTCGTCGTTTTCATCCTCGTAATCACCACCATCATTAACACCATAATCAGTATCATAATCATCATCACCCACATCGTCGTCGTAATTGTTATCACCATCAATATCATTATTATCATGATAATCATCAACCTCATCATTTACGGCAGCAGCACCATGGTCATTATTGTCATCATCATCTTTCTTCTTCTCCTCCTTCTTTCTCTTTCTCATACATCATTTTGTTCCTCCTTTTCTTCCTCCTTTCTCGCATCTTCTTCATTAACAGTGGGTGGAGGTAGTAACGGCTCGTGCATAGGTATTGCGAAATTGCAACACCTCCTATTTTCACTAGATATTATCGCTTACATTCCTCTCCCTTCCCATTTTTGCCTCACTCTTTCATTCTGTCCTTATCTTGAGCACTATATGATCCTTAATGCTAGCACTCATCCACTAGTTCGCCAAACGAAAAACAAGATGATTACCATATTATGGACAGAATAGAGCAAGTCATTATCCTTCGCCTTAGAACAGGGCACAATCGACTTCGCTGCTACATGTACAACAAATTTAAGATTGGCCAATCAGCCATGTGTACTTGTGGACTGGCACCTGAAACAACAGATCACATCCTTCAAGACTGTCCCAGATTCAACGCTTTCAGGCAAAACCTTTGGCCAAAAGAGACACTTGTGGAAGTTAAACTTTACGGGCCGCTTAGTGAATTACAAAAGATAGTAAAATTTATACTAGAGACAGCTTTGCAGATATAGATAATTTATTTCATGCGAGCGAAAGAAGAAGAAGAAGAAATGAACATAACGTGCCTTTTAATAAAATACAACTGCTGTTTGAGAGATAGGTGTTTAGAAGGGCTGAATGTAAGTCGTGCCTGGATGCCCAATTTATGACCCTTTTAAAGCAAATTGTATCCCATAATCTTTAAGAATAGTCCGTAGTTTGTTTTCAGTGTACTCTGCAAGTCATATAGTAGCTGCAGTATTAATTAATAGTGTTAGCAGCAGCCCAAGTAGTTTAAATCGTAGTAGTAACATTAGCAACAGCTAAAGTAGTAGTTGTAGTAGTAGCAGCAGCAGCAGTGGTAATTGTAGTAGTAGTAGTAGTAATAGTAGCAGCAGCAGCGGTAGTCGTTGTAGTAGTAGTAGCAGCAGCAGCAGCAACAGTAGTAGTTGTAGCAGCAGCAGAAGTAGTGGCTGTAGTAGTAGAAGTAGCAACAGCAGCAGTAGTAGTTGTAGTTGTTGTAGTAGTGATAGTAGTAGTAGTAGTAGTAGTAGTAGTAGTAGTAGTAGTAGTAGTAGTAGTAGTAGTAGTTGTAGTAGTAGTAGTAGTAGTAGTAGTAGTAGTAGGAGGAGGAGGAGGATGAGTAGTGCTAGCTGTTGTTGTTGTTTGTTGTTGTTGTAGCAGCAGCAACATAAGTAGCAGTAGTAACGATTCACTTTGTACGTGTCCCACCAGCCATTAAAGCCTTTCTCTTATCCCCAGATGACTCTACCCCTGGACGGCTACCCGGAGGAAGTCCAGAAAAAGCGGAGGTTCGCCAAGAAAGGCATTGTCTACGCCACATACCTGGACATCGTTTCTCGCATCTTCTTTCCGGTCTGCTTTGGCATTTTTATGCTCACCTATTGGCTCTATTACGTCTATAGAGATTGAATCTAGTCACGTGTTGCATAAGAACCTATGTTTGATTGTTTTGTTAATTACTCAGTCATTATATGGAATTAGTGGAGTCATTTATGAATTACACAATCATTACAAGGATTGGAATTGTGTGATGTGTTAATTATACGCTCGTTAGATAGACCAAGTGTAGAGATTTGATAATTACACAGTCATTGCAAGGATTGAGTGAGTGATTAGTTAATTGCACAATCATTACAAGGATCGAATTGTGCGAGCTGTTAATTATTTACGATCATTAGATAGACTGAGTCGGGTGATTTGTTAATAATGCAATCATTACAAGGATTAAACTGTGCGATTTGGTACCGATTGGATCATTAGAAAGACGGAGTGGTGATTTATTAATTACGCAATGATTACAAGGATTGAATTGTGTGATTTTTTAATTACACCTCATTGGCAATTTGTTAAATACACAGTCACTACGTAGGCTGAGTGAGTGATTTGTTAATTACACGATCGTTAGATAGACGGAGTGGTGTGATTTGTTAATTATGCAAACATTACAAAGATAGAACTGCGCAATTTGTTAATTAAACGCTCGTTACATTGACCGAGTGAGGTGATTTGTTCACAGCACAATCATTGCGAGGACTGAGTGGGTGATTTGTTGATTAAACAATTATTGAAGGATTGCAAAGGTTGATCTGTTAATTACAGAATAATTGCACCTTTTGACTCAGCTGCTTTGTTAATTATACAATCTTTAGGCGGATAATGTTTTGTTAGAAACACAATCATTAGGATGACTGATTGAGTTATTGTGTTTAATTGCGTAAACATTATGACGATCAAAGGAGATGATTCATACAATCTTCAAGAGAACTGCGTGAGCCGATTCATTAGTTATAATCTATATCTATCAAGTTTAAGTGAACTGTTTTGTTAATTACATATTCAGTGAAAGGATTGTGACACTTTGTTAACTACACTTTCAAAGCAAGGATTAAGCAAAGTAACATGTTAGTTAAACAACTGTTATAAGGGTTGAGTGACGTAAATTGTTAATTACACAATCCTTACCAGAATGGGGTGATATTATTTTCTGATGATTCAGTCAAAAGAAAGATCGTGATAGGTAATGTTTTAACTACACAATCATTTATCAGAACTGCGTGAATATTCTTTCATATCCAGAATGTTCTAATTGATGCAAAATAGTTTAATCGTCTATTAACTCTTTTAGTCCTAAGTAACGCATGATACGTTCAGAGTTTCCTATCTAGAAGCCTAGAGAACGTATGATGAGCCGATATTACGTCTCTCTTGGGGCGTTTGATGCTAAACCCATGGGACTCCAAAAGTTATTGGACCATGAAAACATTTGAAATTTGCCACATTTGAAGGCCTGATCAGTTATTCTTAAATAGGCAGTACTCAAACCCACCCCTTTTCCCGTGTCTGGTGGGGGGAGAGAACACCCGAAATCAGCCGTTTATTTGTTTAATTTGTAGCACACACAAAACTAAGTCAGAAGTATGCATCTTTATATGTTGGGCCATATTAAAGAGACATATTTCAAAACCATGTGTGCAGCATGTAGGAAGCAAATACCACCAAATATATGGAAAACACTGCCAAAGGACGAGAGTTTTGTACTGTGTTCAATGTTTGGAAAAAACATACCTGAGATGGACACCACCTTGACGAGAACATACTATGGCTCTAAAAGCTCCTGTTGAGCACAGTTTTGGGCAGGGTTTCGGTTGGAATGGCTTCTATCTCCCTTCGGAAATGTCCTTCAGTTCTCGGATGATAGTGGTCAGTGAAACAAACATGTAACAGAAACTCTTTTCCTTCCACTTCACTGTAAGCTACATCTAAAACATGCACGACAGTTACTGCTCGCAGTAATTATATATAAAAATGTGTGCCGTCAATTTGGCCCACCCTGGGTTTTGTTAAAGTGCATCGGGGTGCCATGAGGGTGGAGGGATCAAGGCGAGGGATCGGGGTGCCATGAGGGTGGAGGGATCAAGGCGAGGGATCGGGGTGCCATGAGGGTGGAGGGATCAAGGCGAGGGATCGGGGTGCCATGAGGGTGGCGGGATCAAGGCGAGGGATCGGGGTGCCATGAGGGTGGAGGGATCGGGGTGCCATGAGGGTGGCGGGATTAAGGCGAGGGATCGGGGTGCCATGAGGGTGGAGGGTGCAAGGCGAGGGATCGGGGTGCCATGAGGGTGGAGGGTGCAAGGCGAGGGATCGGGTGCCATGAGGGTGGAGGGTGCAAGGCGAGGGATCGGGTGTCATGAGGGTGGAGGGTGCAAGGCGAGGGATCGGGGTGTCATGAGGGTGGAGGGTGCAAGGCGAGGGATCGGGGTGCCATGAGGGTGGAGGATGCAAGGCGAGGGATCGGGTGCCATGAGGGTGGAGGGTGCAAGGCGAAGGGATCGGGGTGTCATGAGGGTGAAGGGGGCAAGGCGAGGGATCAGCACAGCAAACATTTTTGGGAACAACTACAGCTCATTTCAAGGTACAATCGTATTCACTGTTGACCTACATAGCAGTATACTTACCAGGAGGACGATGACCGCGATACGACGATGATGATAACGACGATGACGATGATGACGACGACGAGAATGGCGACGACGATAATGATGATGATGACGTAGATGATGATGGTGATGACGATGATGACGTCGATGATGATGATGACGTCGAAGATGATGACGTCAAATGATGATGATGACGACGATGACGTCGACGATGATGACGTAGATGATGATGGTGATGACGATGATGATGACGTCGATAACGATGACGACGATGACGATGATGATGACGACGTTGATGACGACGATAATGATAATCATGATGATGATCTGCAATTGCCTAGATTAAACGATAAAGACATGTTATATAGTTAGAAGCCTATTCACCAAACGATAGTAACTTGACAATGTGGTTTACGCCTTTCAACGAAGGGGATTCATTTTTGTGTTTCATTATATGTTGATTGAACTCTGTAGTATCGCAACTGACTAGATACCAAGAAATATATGATGGAATAAATTGTGCAATGTATTGCTTGATTATACACTATTTAAATACACACTATTGGTCATCCATTCATTAATTGGCTACAATTCCCGTCCTTTTTAGGGTGAAATTTCTCGTTTTTTGAAGCCCTACTCTGGCTTTTGCCAGGGCCGCAATATTGCCTGGCCATAAATATGGCCTATAGGCTGAACGCGGTTTCTGGGACCTCTCTACGGTGATCCTCACCCACATGGTGGCAGTTTGTGTCATCGGGTGTTTATCGCTTGTGTGATGTCCTGGTGGGGTAGAAAGTCAGTCAGTCATCCATTGATTGTCCCGTGGTGTCACTTAGCGCTCGCAGTGTGTTTCTCCACTCCATTCTATCATGTACAATCATTTCGATATCATGGATGGAATGCAGCCCAGTAATTTTGGCTTCTTTTATCAACTTTCGCATTAGGGTTTCTATTGGACGTCCTCGTTTCTTCTCTGCATCTACTTCCAGTTTTAGTAACTGTTTGGGAATTCCCTGTTCGTCTCTTTTCGGAATGTGTCCAATATATTTTTTGTTTTATAACTGCTAGTACTAGTGGTTGTCCAAGTCTCATATTTCTTCATAATTCTTGAATGTTTCCAATTTTATGTTGTTTATTATCCTAAGGTTAGTTGCGTATCCTTTACAGGACGTTGCAGAACCAACCCCAACAGCTCCTGGCTGTTGTGTGGGTTTTCTAGGCAAATTTACGTCCAGTAGTTTGGCATTGCTTTCTGGACGGTCGGCTTTTTTGATACCACTGTGGAAACCAACGTAAGGCATGGCTCGCAGCTGGGATCGAATCTGGCATCCCGGCATTACGAAGCGTTCACATCGACTTAGCCACACAGGCGACTCATTATCCTAAGACATTTGTAATATTTCAAAATACCAATGCTCTCTCTCTCTCTCTCTCTCTCTCTCTCTCTCTCTCTCTCTCTCTCCCTCTCTCTGTGTGTGCGTGCGTGTGTCTGTTCGTCTCTCTCTCTCTCTCTCTCTCTCTCTCTCTCTCACACACACACACACACACACACACACACACTTGTTAACGGGAATACTGTCAAAACCTGAAAAGGTTAAAGAGAAACTTGCACAGGACAGGTAAAAATTAGTTCTTGTTTTTGAAACACACAAAAATAATACTAATATGTGGTCACATAAAAGAGTTCCCAGGTCAATGTATGATGTGCTAGCGGTACAAAATGCGTTACAATTTTTAATAATATATAAAATGATTTTATATACATATATGTGTGTGTGTGTATGTATATATATATATATATATATATATATATATATATATATATATATATATATATATATAGGGCTTGTTTGTCCAGTGGTAGTCAGTGCAGGCACCTTTTTAGGCAATCATTTCTTTAGCACACGTGTATCAAGCTCTTTATTGTAAGCACTTGCACTTTTTCTTCTTCTAGAAAAAAGCCCTATATATATATATATATATATATATATATATATATATATATATAGAGAGAGAGAGAGAGAGAGAGAGAGAGAGAGAGAGAGAGAGAGGGGGGTGAGTAGGGGGTTGAGAGAGAGAGATGATTTTTTTCTTCAGTAGTATGAAAACTCATTGATGCCACTGAAACAAACTGACCATTGAAACACAGAAATATAAAAAAACGCAGTGGTCTCCTATTGGATCAATGAAAGAACCAGCGTCTCGTGTGATCACATTAAGAAAGGTGTGACTGAAAACAACTAACGTTTATCTCTTGATGTTGTTGCTCTTAAATTTTAGTTAGTATTTGATAATGTGTTGCAACATTTATTTATAGAGGTTGTACCCATTTTTGAATGATGATAGAGTGCATTTGCAATGTAAAAAAACGAAACAGATTACAACGATGTGAGTGAATTACTTGGAATGGATAAAAGAATGAATTATGTAGCTTTCATCAAATTATGTATTTTATAAAATGACAAAGAAAAC